AGCAGAAACCTCCAAGAAATTAGTCAAACATGCATGTACTACCAAATGACTAAAAATCAGAGAAGAGAGACTACAAAGCAAGCAGCAGGGAGAAATACAGAGCTGCAGTGAGCATGACTCATCTCCTCCCACACAACTTTGAATTCTTAGTTGAATCGTACAGCTCGGCCTAGGTACACCTATTCCCTAGAAACTGTGAGGCCTTTGTAATATCCAGTTCCATCAACAAAAGTGCAGGTTGCTTGGTGAGGATCCGGGAAACAGAACTGCAGGGATATTGTAGGTCATCTCCTCCCAAAAGCCTTTAACACTCAGAATTAACTCCAAGAAATAGGAAGTAACATATAATCTGTCAAATGACGAAGAAAGCAAGAAAATATCTCTTCCCCAAGGGGAAAGAATAGTCCCTCATTATCCACAGACAGTACAATGGAACTCATGGAAATGTCAGATAAAGAATTTAGAATATTCATAGTGACAAAGCTAACAGAGATGCAAGAGAAGAGAGACAATGAACTTCAGAAGATGCAGGAAAATAGAAACAATGAGTTCCAGGAGGTGAGAAAATTCTTGCAGTATGGGAAAGAGGAAATATACACCATAAAAAAGAATCAAATGAAACTGTTAGAGATGAAGGCAGATGAAGGCTGTAATGCAGGAAATCAAAACCTCCCCTGAAAGTATTAAAAGCAGATTAGATCACGCAGAAGATCGAATCTCTGATGTAGAAGACAGAACCTCTGACCTAGAAAAATTCACCAAAAGGACTGAGAAAATAACCCCCCAAAATGAGAATAATAGGGACCAGCAGATGGTGTAATGGTTACATCACTGGACTTCCACGTAGCCGACTGCTATTTGAGTCCTGGACCCAGTGGCTTAAGTCACGCCAGGTGCATGTGTGCATGCCCAAAATCCCAAGAGGAGAGTGGAGAAGAAGGGATTGCAGCGTGGCCATCCCCCCTGGCAGGTGATTTCTCGCTTTCCATCTCTCTGTCTTTCCGGCAAGCACACATGCCCTATAACAAAAACCTCTCTAAAAAAATTGAGAATAATATATGAATAATACTAGATACCATTAGATGCCCAAACATCCAGATAATCAGTATCCCAGAAGGTGAAGAAACTCATCAGGGCATTGATAATCTATTCCATGAAATCCTGGAAGAAGACTTTCCAAACCTAGAGAGGCATTCAAAGATCCAGACCCAAGAAATATGAAGGTCCCCTCCATAGATTGAACCCAAGAAGATCTTCTCCAAGGCACATCATAGCCAGATTGGCCAAAAACACAGACAGACACGATACTAAAATTGGCAAGAGAGAAACGTCAAGTTACTTTCAAAGGATATCCCGTCAGGCTAAAATCGGACCTCTCATCAGAAACAATGCAAGAAAGGAAAGAATGGGAAAATATATTCAAAGTGTTCAGTGAAAAACAACTTCAATCAAGAATACTATAGCCAACAAGGTTATCCTTCACATGGGAAGAAAAGCCCAAAACATTCTCAGATAAACAAAACCTGAAAGAATTTACCAACACCAGACCAGCTCTTCAAGAAATTCTGAAGGGAGTGCTATACCAGGAAAACTAAAGACAGACAGACAGAAATAACAAAATGAAAAATGACCAAGATAAAGGCCAACGTAATGGTAGGGACAAGTTCAGAAATATCAGTAATAATGTTAACTTCCAGGATTTTAACAGAAAGATTAGCCACAGTAACATTGCAAATTCAACGAAGAGAGATTACATGAGACTGAACTGGTGAAATAGAATTCTGTGACTTTTGTCTAACACATTACTGATTTTCTTCTATGCTTTGTCATTTAGATTTTAGTGGCTAATAGGTTCAGCAAAAAAACGTTTTTAAATTGAAACATAAACTTTTCTCCCTTCCTGACCCCTTTGCAATTGGAAAATATTTGTGAGCATTCTTATTTTGTGGCAGAAGGGTTACTTGCATAAATTCAGTAATACAATAGTGTGTGTTGCCTTGCTTCAGAAAGTGAATTCTTATGGGGCTTTGTACAAATAACAGACCAAATTGAGATTAACCTAAATTTTTTTGCAAATAAGTTAATTTATACCTCTCTTTAGTAAAAGGGGGAATGAGAGAGAGAAAAATGTTTCAGAAGAAAATGACAGTGCACTTATCACTAGATTTTAGCTTTGTCCATATTTTTAGTTTAAGATCTTTTGTGAATTAATAAAATGTGAAAAAAATAATATGGAAGAGAGGGAGGGGAAAGGGAAAGAAAAAAACAAGTAAAAGTATGCTTAGTTGACAAAAATGAGAATCTCTTTGCTGATGATAATGTATATAGTAATATCTTTGTCTTGACTAACATGCATGGCTTTTTGTGCTAGAAAAAGACATACTCTACACTGTAAAGACATGTGATTAAATGTAAATAAATAAAAATGAAACAAACAAACAAAAAAGAAAGGTCAAAGAGTTGGCAGGTGGCATAGTGGTTAAGGTGTTTGACTCCCACATGGCCAACCATGTTCAAGTCCCAGACCTGGTGGCTCTCTCTCTCATCCAATTAATAAAAATAATAAAATTAAATAATCCTTTTAAACAAAGGAAGAAAAGTCACAGGGCCAGCCCCCAGTCGCCTAGGGGTTCAGGGAGCCTGATCCCACATGGCCAACTACAGTTTGAGATCCTAAGATCTCAACCTGATGGCTTGAAAAGTATATTGAGTACATATGTTTGCATGCCTTAAGTCCTGACAGGATGGGGACATAAAGGAGATAGGATTATAGCATGACCACGCACCATTGCAGGGTGCTTTCTCTCTCTCTCTATCTCTCTCTGTCTCTCTCCAGTGAATGCATGTGCTCTTCACCATTTAAAAAACGAAAGAAAAGAAAGATCGTAAACCATACAGAGTACAGAGTAGGTAGGATTGGGAACAATTATAGCAGGAATTGAAACTGTGATGTTAATTGCAATGAATTGTTCTAATGATTATATTGGTTTTTCTAAATATATTAGCTGACCTGGAAAAAAGTGCTTTGATCAGCTAACGGATATTTTACAGATAAGGTTCTTATACACCACAGGCTCTCCAAGTATGCACCTCGACTAGCAGCATCGGCATCATCTGGAAACGTGTCAGAAATGCAAATTATCAACTGCCTGCAGATATTGAATCAGAAACTCTAGGGATGAGGTCTGGTAATAAGTGTTTTTTTTTTTTTTTTGAGAGGTTTTTGCTATAGGGCGCATGGGCAGAGGTTTTTGCTATAGGGCGCATGCGCTCGCCAGACAGACAGAGAGAGACATAGAGACAGAAAGCAAGAAATCACCCCCCAGAGGGGATGGTCATGCCGCAATCCCTTCTCCTCCATTCTCCTCTCGGGATCTTGGGCACGTACCCACCCACACGCGCCTGGCGTGAGTTTTAGGCCACCAGGTCCGGGACGCGAACCGCGGTCGACTACGTGGGAGTCCAGCGACATAGCCATTACACTAACTGCTGGTTCCCTGGTAATATGTGTTTTAACAAGACCATCAGGTGACTATAATGTATGCTAATGTTGGAAAACTGCTTTCAAACCCAAATGGTTATTACCAGGATTCTTTTATAAGTTTATTTTTTTCTTTCATAAGAGAGAGACAGAAAAAGACAAGAACCTTCAAAAGGTTTCAGGCTGCGATCCCTCCTCCAGCCTTCCTAGCCAGCTAGGATCATAAGCAGGTGTGTGCCTGTGTATACCAGTTACCCAGGAACTGAGCCCCAGTCTTCCACATGGCTTCCAGCACTGCAGAGCACGGCATTACTGCTGTGCCACTATAGTTGTGCCCTGGCTTCTTTTTTTGGAGATTTTTTTTTGCTATAGGGTGCGTGAGCTCACCAGAAAGACAGAGAGAGACAGAGAGACAGAAAGCGAGAAATCACACCCCAGGGAGGATGGTCACAGTGCAATCCTTTCTCCTCCATTCTCCTCTTGGGATCTTGGGCACACACACGCACACGTGCCTGGAATGAGTTTAAGCCACTGGGTCTGGGACTTGAACCGTGGTTGACTACATGGGAGTCCAGCAACATAGCCATTAAGCCAACTGCTGCTCCCTGCCCTGGCTTCTTTAGCAGCTAAATTTCTCGTTTTTAAAAATTAGGCTCACAGGAGTTCAAGTAGCTTAATGCAATTTACTCCTAGGGTTCATTATATCATTATGGAAGACCCCCACAAAGAGACTCATTTTTGTATGACTACTGCTGCAGCAGGACGGAACAAAGGAAGCGTTTGAACCTATTCTGAACATGCATGTGAGGAGTAGCAACACGTTCACTTAAGGCTTCAAGATGAAGGCATAAGGATGTTTACAGTTAACATAGATATAAAATCTTTTTGTTTGTTTGTTTTTGGAGAGGTTTTTGCTATAGGGTGTGTGCACTCGCCAGAAAGACAGAGAGACATGGAGAGACAGAAAGCTAGAAATCACCCCAGGGGTGGGGGGATGGCCATGCTCTCTTCTCCATTCTCCTCTCAGATCTTAGGCATACATGCACACGCCTGGTGTGAGTTTAAGCCACTGGGTCTGGGACTCCAACGGTGTTCGACTACATGGAAGTCCAGACACATAGCCATTACGACAACTGCTGGGCCCCATAGATATGAAATCTAATAGTTAAAGAGAAGAGTGCTGCCATTGCCATTAGATAATAACTCCAAGAATTCAAGAACTCACGGAAACGAGTAGAACATACTCTGGTTCTATTCCACCACACTAGAGTCACGGGATGTGTCATGACAACAACTGATCAGCAACATGCTAACGCCACATGCAAACATACAACCTTTGCTGCTCACATACAGATGTATACATGCATGACCCCCAGACACTGCTACACCATGAGTGGTCAACACACACACACCATCAACAGGCAGAACTAGACCCAAGCCCACCTCACTTATTCTTGGGCCCCATAACTAGAGCAAGAAAGGTTAGGCTAGTGGAGAGTGCGTGAGGAGGGGTCCTTACCATCGTTCTCCAGGGATCCAGGTGCACTGTTGTTAAAGATCTGATCCACATGATTCAGTATGAACTCAATCACCACCTGCTGGACCCGGACAGCAAGGAAGGCTGCATCTCCATTGCAACCGGTGGCTTCGATTTCTTTAGACCTAAACCGGAGAAGAAGCATTCAGTGGAAGAGTCTGCCTTGCAACCTGGAGCAGCAAGGAGGCCACGGGCCTTCTGTACAGCCCCATCCCCAACATTTCTGTGGGTTATAGACTATGATGACTATTTTTAAAAAATAATTATTTATTTATTTAATTCCATTTGTTATTGTTATTTTTTTATTTAACCAGAGAGAGAGAAAGAAAGGGAAAGCGAGAAAGCAAGCCACTAGGTCCGGGACTTGAACCATGGTCGACCCTTTGGGAATCCAGCGCCCTTATCCACCATACCACCTGCCGGCCCCAAGACTATGATAACTATCAAAGACCAATTAAAAAGGCTCTTCAAAGGCTGTGAAACACAACACACATTTAAAACAGTTACCAGGAATTACATGTGGCAAGACTGAACTCACGGAAACTAGTAGAACATGTAAATATCCAGGAGGTGCTCTTTTTTTCTTTATAAGATCCCTCCCACTCTCACTAACTGTCCTGTGGGGCAGGGAACCACTTAGGAAGGCATAGGAAGCTGATCTCAGTTAGAGCCAGCTGTGACTCCACCAAAGCCAGGAAAGTGAATGAGCCCCAAAGACAAGACAGGCCTTTTCAAGAAACTATAGCATACAGGTGACTTGAGCCACATCAGCATTATAGCCGAAAGTGTCTTTGGAACCCAGAATTTTTACGTTAGCAAAGAAAGATCTCAGGCTACTAAAATCGCATTTCATTTATCATGCTACAAATGACCACTTAGCTATAGATTTGTGTTTGTCTTAAAGGGATTCCAACTTAGAAGGACCCAGTCTCCACTCTGATTGGTGCGCTCTCTGACCCCACTGGGACGGTGAGGAGGGGAGGGCGTGATGGTTACCTGAGGAGGTTTGGAGCCCATACCAGGGCCAGGTTCCTGGCGTGCATGTTGGTCTTGCTGCTGAAGGAGGCGATGTGGGCCAGATGACGAATCAGGTATTCCAAGGTCCTGTAATGGTCCATTTTTTGGACAAAGTAAGATACTTCAGTGCCCGTGTGGAACCTGACATCTGGAGGTGATTTCCGAGTTTAGGTTTAAGGGATTAAATATTCTTAGCTAATGAACTTCAAAGGAATATTAGGAAGAGATTGCAATAGATGGGAGCAATGTTCTCGACCCTGGGGAAGGGGTCAGTCTTGGCAGAGTCAGCTAAGGCCCTGGGAGCGCCAGCCAGAGACAGACACAGGAATCCCAGCACCCAAGGGTCTGAGAGTGCTTAGTAGCCACTGGTTCTCCCTCGCCCAGGGCAGAGTCACCTCCATGCGGTCTTGAAATACAATAGTATCTCCTGTAGCTTTAAAAAATCTTCCAGCTCCAGGTAACGTGGTATTTGGTGGCAAGTGCACTCGTGCTGAGTGCCACTTACTATTGCTAGGAAGTGCTTTCTATACCACATCCGGTCTGCTCCCTTGTGGAAGGCGGGCAGGCGTAGCGAACACTGGGAATGGGGGTGACAGCAAGGACTAGCCTGTGAGAGTGACATGCAAGGGTGGGATGATGTTGGGGGTGGTACTTATGAGCAAGGAGACAGACCAGGCAGCCCAGCTCTCCAGAGCTATAGTCAGCCCCTGCTGAAAAGCAATCTTGGTTTCTACAGACTCGGTCATGCTACAAATCTGGGCGAGAAGCAAGGATGTCACCCAGTGGCTGGCTTGTGTGATGGGAATGACTTCCTGAGGGACTCTGAGGAGTGCTCTACAAGTGCCTTACAGAATGGCTGACCTTGCTGCCAATGTCCCTGGTCATTTGCCAGTCCCTTTTGATAACAGTGACCCATTCGCCAACCTCAAAATGCTCCAGGAAAGCCACCGTCCAGTGCACTCGCTCCCTCCAGTGGCGCCAGCCTACCCAGGGAGAGCAGCACGCCACCTGGAGGCGGCGCAGTGCTTTCCCGACTCACCTATAGTGGGATGGCGGCAGCTCCTGGATAACATTCTGGATTCGGGCCAGCTGGCCTTCTTCCGGGCAGTGTGACACGGCCTCCTGCGGAGAATATGAAGTAGCCCAGTGAGTGCCGCAGAGCGAGGACACCACCTCATGTGCTGGTGTCATCCAGGCCCTGAGACCCCAGCCTCAGCCCAGGGGAAAGACTACCTTCTCAGATACATGCTTTTCTTTATTCTTTTAAAGATTTTCCCCATAAGATACATGCGCTTGCCAGAGAGTCCTGTAATGGTCCATTTTTTGGACAAAGTAAGATACTTCAGTGCCCGTGTGGAACCTGACATCTGGAGGTGATTTCCGAGTTTAGGTTTAAGGGATTAAATATTCTTAGCTAATGAACTTCAAAGGAATATTAGGAAGAGATTGCAATAGATGGGAGCAATGTTCTCGACCCTGGGGAAGGGGTCAGTCTTGGCAGAGTCAGCTAAGGCCCTGGGAGCGCCAGCCAGAGACAGACACAGGAATCCCAGCACCCAAGGGTCTGAGAGTGCTTAGTAGCCACTGGTTCTCCCTCGCCCAGGGCAGAGTCACCTCCATGCGGTCTTGAAATACAATAGTATCTCCTGTAGCTTTAAAAAATCTTCCAGCTCCAGGTAACGTGGTATTTGGTGGCAAGTGCACTCGTGCTGAGTGCCACTTACTATTGCTAGGAAGTGCTTTCTATACCACATCCGGTCTGCTCCCTTGTGGAAGGCGGGCAGGCGTAGCGAACACTGGGAATGGGGGTGACAGCAAGGACTAGCCTGTGAGAGTGACATGCAAGGGTGGGATGATGTTGGGGGTGGTACTTATGAGCAAGGAGACAGACCAGGCAGCCCAGCTCTCCAGAGCTATAGTCAGCCCCTGCTGAAAAGCAATCTTGGTTTCTACAGACTCGGTCATGCTACAAATCTGGGCGAGAAGCAAGGATGTCACCCAGTGGCTGGCTTGTGTGATGGGAATGACTTCCTGAGGGACTCTGAGGAGTGCTCTACAAGTGCCTTACAGAATGGCTGACCTTGCTGCCAATGTCCCTGGTCATTTGCCAGTCCCTTTTGATAACAGTGACCCATTCGCCAACCTCAAAATGCTCCAGGAAAGCCACCGTCCAGTGCACTCGCTCCCTCCAGTGGCGCCAGCCTACCCAGGGAGAGCAGCACGCCACCTGGAGGCGGCGCAGTGCTTTCCCGACTCACCTATAGTGGGATGGCGGCAGCTCCTGGATAACATTCTGGATTCGGGCCAGCTGGCCTTCTTCCGGGCAGTGTGACACGGCCTCCTGCGGAGAATATGAAGTAGCCCAGTGAGTGCCGCAGAGCGAGGACACCACCTCATGTGCTGGTGTCATCCAGGCCCTGAGACCCCAGCCTCAGCCCAGGGGAAAGACTACCTTCTCAGATACATGCTTTTCTTTATTCTTTTAAAGATTTTCCCCATAAGATACATGCGCTTGCCAGAGAGAGACAGAGAGAGAGGGAAAAGGAAAGTGAGACACCACCCCTAGATGGGGTGGTCACACCACAATCCTTTCTTCTCTATTCTTCTCTTGGGATTTTGGGCACACACACATATGCACCCAACATGATTTTCAAGCCACAGGGTCTGGGACTCGAACCATGGAGTCACCTATGCGGAATCCAGAAAGAGCCTTAAACACCATGCCATCTGCTGGCCAGAGTCATGCTTTTCTGCAACAACCAGTAACTACTCTTTCTGAGGGCTCAAGGTGGAATGTGGTTCATGGCACGCACATAGGAAAGGGCAGCTCCTCGGGTCAGCATGTCCTCAGGTGGTAAAGAATGTGTGCGATTGGGAACCAGCAGTTAGCGTAATGGCTATGTCGCTGGACTCCCACGTAGTCGGCCACGGTTCGTGTCCCGGACCCAGTGGCTTAAAACTCACGCCAGGCGCGTGTGCGTGCGTGCCCAAGATCCCGAGAGGAGAATGGAGGAGAAGGGATTGCAGCGTGACCATCCCCTCTGAGGAGTGATTTCTTGCTTTCTGTCTCTATGTCTCTCTCTGTCTGTCTGGTGAGCGGAAGCGCCCTACAGTGAAAATCTCTCCAAAAAAAAAAAAAAGGAATGTGTGCGATTGTGGGTGTGTCTCATACGGCAGAAAGAATCACAGAGACTCATACTCAGAGAGGTAGAGAGAGACAGGGAGAGACAGAGAAGACAGGTGGCACCAGGCCTGTTCAGCCAGTTGTCTTCATGGGAGCAAACAGCCACAGCCCAGCTACCCCGAGACCATTCCAGAACCCGAAGTACCCAGCTGCTGCCTGCTCTGGTTGCCAGGAAGCAGGGAAGACATGCCATCCACATCAGAGATAAGGGCTTTGTCCCCAAGACCTGGAGGCCTTGCTTTCTGGTTATTTCCTGTAGAGATATTTCGTATCCCTCCCAGCCCAGGGCTTTCCAGGAGGGGCAGGAATGGTGGTAAAGACAGTGTGGTCACAGGCTGGCCCACACCCATCTCCTGCCTATCCAGGACTTCTGCATGATGTAGTCACCTCTGTGCAGATTCCCCTGAACCAGGCCTGCACACCGTCCTGAGAACTGTCCTGCCTGTGCCAGGCTCGGTGCCGCTCGCTCAGTGCCGGAGTGATCCCACACTGCCAGCCTGGAGCATCTAAGTCGGAGGCCAATGGTCACCCCGTCTTTCTTTTTACTGAGATATAATTTGCATACACCACAAGTATGCAGATTTTAAGCTGTAACTCCATGAGTTTTCTCATATGTACATGCCCAGGTCGCCCCACCTAGATACACCTTTAAAGGGGCTCTTGGGCTCACTTCCATCCGTGTTCTCTTGAATTCACAGGCATATGCGACTTATCTAGTCTTGAACATCCTCCTGGTGCTGGAGACCTGCTTTCATTTAAATATAATGAAAATTTTCAGGACCAGCAGTTGGTGTAATGGCAATGTTGCTGGACTCCCATGTAGCCGACTGTGGTTCAAGTCCCAGACCTCGTGGCTTAAACCCACGTCGGGTGCATGTGCGTGTGTGCTCAAGATAGAAGAGAATGGAGGAGAAGGGATTGCGGCGTGGTCATTCCCCCTTGAGGGGTGATTTCTCGCTTTCTGTCTCTCTGTCTCTCTCGTCTTTCCCATGAGTGCACGCACCCTATAGCAAAATCCTCTCAAAAAAAAAAAAAAAAGAAAGAAAATTATAATCATGAAATATAGCCTTTAGTTTGGTAAATACTGTCCCGTCCAGTCCAGCTACAGATTAGATCCTGGCTCTGGTGACAATTTCCTACCATTCACTTCTGTTCAGTCTTTAGCTGTCATTTGCTTGCTTGTGCGTGAGTGCTGAGGGCCACACTCTCAGTAATGAGCGTTTTTAGGCCCAGAAACAGTAGAAGGGAATTGACTTTACCAGGCACCTCCCTCTGTTTGCCAGGCCCTAGTCTAGGCCACGACTGCTATATTGTAGGCCATATTCTAGGCCCTATTCGAGGCTCTAGTCTAGGCCGCAACTGTGGTGTATATTCTGTTCTAACATTACTCTTCTCAAAAAGCGTATTTATTTGTCCCACGAGAGAGAGAGAAAGAACAGAAAGAGAGACAGAGAGAGAAGCACGTTTGACAGTCTTCATGCCGTGGCCCAATGCCAGTCTCAGCCACCTGGATTATGCTCACACACGGCGGCATGTGCAGGGAGGTCCTGGGATGCTAAGCGAACCCAGGACCTTCCCTGTGTGGATCCGGTTGTTACCACTGCACCTCTGCCCGGCCCTGGTCTGTTCTGACTCACAGGAGAACTCCGAGGTCCTGTCTCCTCCCGGACCTCGCACCCCTCTCTCTTCACCCCACAGCACTCATCAGCACTCCACACACTGTAGGATGCACTCAGGTCTCTCAGGCTGTTGAGTACGGTCTGTCTCCCTGGCTGCGATACAAGTTCTATAAGGGATGAGATGAGTCCTGTGTCATCCCTTATAAAACAGTGCCTGGCACACAGCAGGTGCCCCCTGCAGGGGACATTGTCTCAGGATTTTGTCACCAGCTTTTTTTTTTTTTCATTTTTTATTTAGATGAAATAAAATATATATACAAAAGTCCACCATTTTTAAAGACAAAATTTTATACATTGAAAACTGGAGGCCTTGTTTTCTAGGCACAGTGGGGGGAAATGAGGAACTAGGAGTGTCACAGTCGAGTGGCCCACAGCCTCCGATGGACATGCTTGCCTGAGGGAGACCCAGTGCAACCACAGTTTGAGATCTCTGGTGCAATCCCCTTTGAGAGACAGCAGGGTGTAGGGTGGGGCAAGGATAGGGCACCCAGTCAGCTCTCTGACACCTCCGTGTTCTGCCCTCATGCTGTCATTCAGAGAAAAGGATTGTGGAGGGGACCCTGGCTTCAAGTTATGGAGAGCCTCACTAGAGGGAGAAGCTGCAGGGGAAGGAGGGGCTGCAGGATTGGACATGCTTCTTCCACATTCCGTCTTGCAAAGATGGAGGGATGGGGAAGCCTCTCTTCGTCTCTCTGCAAAGCCAGGATCACGCTTTGCAAAACTTTGTACCTACTCCCCGCCTTTTAGGAAAATGTGTCTGGGGAATAAAATTGTAGGTTAATGTAACAGCCTTCATGGAAAGTTCCTTTAATATTTTAGGAAGCTGTTAGTCATCTTTGTTCTCTGAGGCAGGGCAGGCTCACCCGGAATGCCTGCCGGTCCTATTGGAATTGGTGTTTATTTCATTATCCACGGCCTCTGCCCATCCCAGCACAAAACTATTCAGAGGCTGTCTAAATCCTCCTTTCTCTCAGGGGCCTGGTTACTGCACTTAATTTTAGCGTGTTTATGTTCCCAGTGAGGATGCAGAACCTATTCTTGGGTAATTGTGGGGAGGGAAGTTAATATTTTGTCCACCCCAATTTTTTGCCTATAAGAGAATTTCACTCAGTATTAGCCCAGTCAATGAAGCTTATGATTAAATCATAAAAGATCTAGGATGAATCTGTGACTAATTGTTCTCTTCAAATTAGTGTCAATAAGACAAGCTTCCAGCCTTTTAAGGACTTGGGCGCAGGCTGGGTTCTCGTCTCCTGTGCTGGGGCCTCACTCTGGGTGTCTCTGTTTACCCAAAGCCACCAGTGGCCCTGGTGTCCTGCTGCCCCGGCCTTCTGTCACCAGGGTGGCTGAACATAAACACCCTCTGGGGCTCTCCCTTCCCATTGCACCCAGTTACAGGTTTAATTAATTAATTAATTTTTCTAACTACTTAAAAAGTATTATAAAATGATTTTTATTATTCTAAGCTATTTTAAGAGATTGACTGGCTTTTTGTTTAAGAGAGATTTTTGCTATTGGGAGCATGAGACCGACAGACAGAAAGAGAGAAATCATCCCCCACGGGGGATGGCCCAGCCACAATCCCTTCTCCTCAAATATCCTCTTGGGATTTTAGGCATGCATGCACATGCGCCCAGTGTTTGTTTGTTTGTTTGTTTTTGGAGAGGTTTTTGCTATAGGGTGCGCACGCTCGCCAGAAAGACAGAGAGATAGAGAGACAGAAAGCAAGAAATCACCCCCTAGGAGGGATGGCCTTTTCTTCATAGCATCAACAGTTCTCTTGACAGTGCTGTGTCTTACATTTGTGTATCATCTGTCTTTTCCACTAAAAGGTAAGTTTCACAGGTCAGCTGGCGAAGTGGTAGTTAAGGCAGTTGGATCCCACAGGCAGACCATGTGGTTCAAGTCCTGAACCCAGCAGCTTAAAAATACACTGAACCAGTGTGTGCCTGCCCACTCAAAATCCCGACGAGAGAAATGAGAAGGGAGTGCGGCGTGCCTGCCCCTGTGCAGGTGCTTCCTCACTTTCCCTCTCTTTCTCTGACTCTCCACCGCCAGCCTACGCATCCTCTAGCAAATTAAAGAACAGTGTAAGTTTTACAAGAGCAAGGATCTGACTTACTCAGTGCATCTCTAGTACCTGTGCCTGCCAAGTATTCATTGTCAGAGCCCAATAAACGTGCTGAGTGGACCAAGGAAGTGAACGAGCTGGTATTTTGCTTTGTGCTTGGAAATGTCACATCTGGACCACACTCCCAGGACAGTGGCATCCTAGGGTCATTTGCTGTGGTGAGGAATGCCACCATTGCTGACACAGTGCTTTCACTGCAGGCTGCTGGCAAGGTGAGTAATCATGCTGGCTTTCCTGGGACTGTGGGCTCCCTGGGACATGAGACTCTCAGAGTGGAGACTGTGAGAGGCCCTGGCAAACCCACACAGTGGACTACGGCCTCCTCTGCTGCCATCTCGAGCTCACTG